TTTTTTTTTTTTTTTTTTTTTTTTTTCCCTTTTCTCATATATTATATCCCAACCAGTTTCCCCTCCCAGCCCTTCCTCACCTTCCCCAGGTCAATATTTTAAAATACACATCTAATACAGTGCCCATCTGCCTCATAAGCAGTTCTCTTATTTGTTTATTTGTCTAAATTATTTATTTATTTATTTATTTATTTATTTATTTATTTATTTATAGACATGGAGCTCTGGCCGGCCCAGAACTCAAGGAGATCCTCCTGCCTCTGCCTCCTGAGTGCTAGGATTAAAGGTATGTGCCACCACATCTATCCCAAATCTATTTTCTTTTTTTTTTTTGGTTTTTCAAGACATGGTTTCTCTGTGTAACAGTCCTGGTTGCCCTGGAATTCACTCTGTAGACCAGGCTGGCCTGAAACTGAGATTCACCTGCCTCTGCCTCCTGAGTGCTGGGATTAAAGGTGTGCTCCACCACCCAGTTGCAAACCTATTTTCTAGTCAAACAAATATTCACATAATAATCTCATCATTGAAGATACTAAACAAATGGTATAGGCTATGAAACGTTCAGACTCATAAAGAATGAGCAGAGACTGATGTTCACTTTCTACCCAGGACCGAAAAATCTACAAGTGATTCATCCTCATACCTTGAAAGACTCCACCATGAATTGAGAATCAACAAGGAACACTCCACACACTCGGAACTCCCACTGTTCAAGCTGCTGGACCAATTGCTTCATCACAGGCAGGTGTGTATACAGTTCAATCTGACCTGCAGGGAGAACACCACAACACAGTAACCCGGTTACTGCAGCTCGTGTACACATGGGACATTACCAGTTACTACAGCTCATGCACACACGGGATGCTCCCGGTTACTGCAGCACGTGTGCACACCCAGGAAGCTGCAGAGACGGTGTAAAAGGAGTAGGGGCACACAGTGGTATGATGTATGTCTAGTGTGTTTGAAGCTCTTAATTCAATCCTGGTACTGAAGAGAGAAGGAAGTCAGATCCTACTATGACATCCAGGTGGTGTCTGTGATGCTGAGGATTGAACTATGGCCTCAAGCAGCCTAGGCAAGCACTCTGTGACTGTATCACCTCTCAGACTCAGCATTAAGGTTTTTTTTTTTTTTTTTTTTTTTTGCTTCTTCTTTGAGTTTTGTTTTTCCTGCATTTTTTTTCCTGAGAGTTTTATTATTTCGAATTATGTATGTTTGCATGTCAGGTGTTTGCAGGTGCCTGTGGAGGCCAGAAGAGGATGTCATAGGTGTTGGGAACCAAACTTAGGTCCTCTGGAAGAGCAAGTGCTCTTAACCTTTGAGCTCCTCTCCATGCCCTGCACTCAGCTGGTAAGGGGACTAACAGATTCCCAGGACAACCTAAGGTATGGCCACCATGGGAACATGGAACAGATATCAATTTTCACACCTCAGCTTTTGCCAGTGCTGGGAACTAGGGATGTGACCACATGGCAGACTGCCCGCCTGACATGAACTAGCCCTGGGTTCAACCCTCAACAAAGAAAAGCAAAAATCCAAGCACAAAGGGGTGTGCAGCTTAGAAATATTCACACCCTTAAGTACCCAACACACACACACACACACACACACACACACACACACACACACACACACACTTTTTGTGGGAGTCCATGTGTTTAATTAAAAGCAAGAGGAAGAAAGCAAGCAAAGTCCGAAGATGAGAAAAGCTGGTCAGGATCCAAGTTCATACTTCCCCTCCGGAAGCTGGGTGGCATTCCCTACCCTTTACCAGTTTCACCTCACAACACCTCTGCTCACTGTGCCCCAGCCATCCTGACCTCCAATCTGCCTACTGCATCTTGTCTTCGGCCCTTTGCCTGCACAGTTGTCTTAATTTTGTCTTACCAGACTAGCTTAAAGGACAATTGACCGGTGGCCTCCTGAACCCTTCTTCTTCAGAATAGCCCATGTTCCTTCTGTGAGTCACCTGCCACAAATACTAATCATGGAGTGACTTTGTTTATGTTGCTTGCCACCAGATCCTAAGCTCCATGGCACAGGCCCTGGCTCCCTTATTCTCAAAGTTGTTCTCAGTAAGCATTTGATGAACTCAAGGGATAAACTGGAGCCAGCTCCTCAGTGCAGTCATTTACTACTGTCCCCACGAGGACACAACCATCACAGCTTCAGGGCAAACAGCACATTAAAGTGGCTGACATACCTGGACAGTCAAAAAGGATGTAATCGTCCTCAACGTGTCCCAGGCAGTTCTCTAGCCAGTCAAAGTTGTTGGCAAAGTACTCCATGCAGAATACCAATCCTCCATTGGGACCAAACCGCAGAGAACTGTCCTCCATCACATCGTCCACCTCGATCAGTTCCCGGATGTCTAGAGAGCCAGGCAGGGAGCGGAATGAGTATTCACCTAGAGAACTTTTATCCTCTTTAGTAGTGACTAACAGATATGAAAGAACTCACCTGTGGGGCTGGGAAGACGCCCTGAGATGAAGAGTGCTTGATGCACAAGCATTAAGACCTGAGTGTGAAACTCTAGCACCCATGTAAAAAGCTGGGCACAGACATGTCTGTAACTCCAGTGCTGAGGAGTGGAGGACGGAAGGTTGCTGGGGCTTGTCTCCAGATTCAGGTGGAGAACCCGCCTCAAAGGAGTAGGTGGAGTTACAACATCTGACTGAACAAATAAATTACGGCACAGATATTACACAGCAGAACACTATGCACACAGACAAAGGGGAGGGGAAGCTCTTTTTTTGCGTGTTTGGGTTTTTGAGACAGGGTCTCACTATGTAGCTCTGGCTGTCCTCGAACTCAAAGAGATCAGCCTGATTCTGCCTCCTGAGTCTGGGATTAAAGGTGTGCTCCCCATGCCCAACTTGAAGGAGAAGCTCTTTAGGCACTGCTATAATATAATCTCCCAGCTGTATCATTAAGTGAAAATTTCAAGGCATGGAGCTTCCTGCAAGAACTGGGTGTGTGTGTTGGAAGAAAAAAAGCTGGTTTGATGGTCCACTATAGTCTTAGCTCTTGGGAGAAAGAGGTAAGAGGATCCAAAACACAAAACAAAACACAGAAGTCCACCACACACACATGACTATACACTCAAGCTGGATTTTAGATGCACAAGTTGCTTATGGAGGAACATATCAGAAACTAGTAACATGGGCTGCCCCAAGGAGCGGTATCATTGCCGGGCCACCATCAGGGAGATTTTCCTGCCTACTTCCTCCTGTGTCCTTCACATTTTGACCATTCAGCTGTGTATTAACTGTATCAAGAAGGAAACTAAAATGAAGCCAACTTCTATCTCTTAACTAGATGACCCAAGGAAGCTAGTTAACTCCAGAGCTCACTCATGCTGGAAGGATGGGAACTGTGTGACTTACCTACAGAAAAGTATTAAATATCCTGGGATACAGACAGTTCTCATTCATTTTGGAAATCAAAATAAAACCGACATGAAGTTGGTCTTGGCTCCTGTTAATTTGGGCAGGCCTCTCATCTCATACAGTTTCCCTCCTGGGTTCTTAAGGTCCTAGGTCCTTCTAATACATCTTTTCACTTAAGGCAGCTTTAGTGCTCTCACCCACATGATCTGGAAGCCACAGCCTGCCTTTCTCTGAGAGCAATGAAGGTGGTTTCCACCCCTCCTCAGCCTGCTCCCTGACTCCACCTAGCAGTCCACACTCTCCTCATGACCACACTCCCGGCTCTAGTGTGTAACCCCAGCCATCAAAAGGCAAATGCAAAAGTTTCGAAGTACAAGGTCATCCTTGGCTATACAAGGAGCTTGAGGGCAGCCTCAGCTACATGAAATTCTATTTCAAATCTCAAGCAAAAAATAAAAATGTTCCATGGCAGTGTCCACACTGTAGCACCTGCCACTTCACTCCAGTCCACTCCCACCTGCCTTCAGCCCCACTGCTCCCCCGCTAACACTGGCCTCAGCTGGCAATGACACCATGTCCCCACATCTAACAGCCACTTTCTAGCACTGTCTGACAAACTGCTCAGCTGGACCTAAGGTGAGCAGCAGCTCTTTCATGAAAACTTCCCCCTTGTCCGTTCTGAAGCTGTGCCTTCCTCTCACCTCACTGATGTCACCTCCTCTAGCAGCTTCCCAAGAACACACACCCTCAGGGCTGAGCAGCCCACTTTCAGTGCCAGGGGACGCTGTGCAGGACTCACCAGCCATCACAGGGTAGTTGAAGTGCTCTGCTGCTGGATCCAGGTTGACCACCTGGACAGAGCGGTTGAGGGCTTCGCAGTGCTGAACCATGGTGGAACAGTAGGTGCTCTGTAACATGACAAGGTGGGGTGGTTAGCACACGGGGCAAGTGTGGTGCCGCCCTTCACACCCCCAGGGGACTTTGCCACTCTTTGGGGCAGTGTCCACTCAGGCCAAAGCTGCACCTTTGGGAAAAGTGCTGGGAAGGCAGTCAAAACAGAGCTATAGATCAAGATGTGGCTTGGGCTCAGAGAACTTTAACACAGTCCAAAACTTAGATTATGCAAATGATTTCCACTATGCTTCCCTTTGACACACTGCTCTCTCTGACTGGGACCACCCCTTCATACATCAAAATGTACTATGATTGACATGCCAGCTATGCATCTTCCCAAATAGATTACAGGCTCTGCAGAGTCACATGCATAACTCTGGTACTCAGAACCTGTGTTTATTAAATACTCAAGTGACACAACACCTCCGAAGACTTGATATGTAATCATTATCTTTGTCTTTTCTACTGTGTTTAGTGTCCCTAATATTATTCCCCGAATATATATTTACAAGGAAACATAGTCTAGCACATGGGAGGCAAAGGAAGGTAGATCTCTGAGTTGGAGGCCAGCTTGGTCTACACATGAGTTCCAGGACAGTCTGAGCTACACAGAGAAACCCTGTTTCAAAACAAAACAAGGAAACTCATATCACAATTTAAAATAAAACAACAAGCCAGGCAGTGGTGGCCCAAGCTTTTAATCTCAGCAATCGGGAGGCAGAGGCAGGTGGATCTCTATGAGTTCAAGACCAGCCTAGTCTACAAGAGCTACTTCCAGGACAGCGTCCAAAGACACAGAGAAACCCTGTCTCAAAAAACCAAAACAAACAAAAAATAAATAAAAAACCAAATATTATATTTCTCATAATACGAAGGTAATTACAAAATTCTAAGTAACTTTTTCCAGACGTGGGAGTGCCTACCTATAATCCCAGCACAAAGAAAGTCAAGGCAGGACTTCCATGAGTTTAAGGCTAGGGTGGACCACACAGTTAAGACTCTTGTCTCCAAAAGTAATTAGTTAACTTAATTTTTTTATTTATTATTGTTGCAGAAGACCTGGGTTTTCCACAAGCAACACCCTCTTCTGGTCTCTTTGGGCAGTGTACACAAGCCAGATAAGTATCAGAAGTCCATATCCCAACCACCCTCTCTACACCACTCCCCTCCCTCGAGTGCTGGGATGGAACCCAAGGCTCAAACTTCTGAGGAACAGTGAAGAACAAGACCCTATTCTGGGTGTGTGACAGAGGGCCTGTACCGAAATGAGTCAAAAACGGACTCAAATTCTGGCCAGAACCGTATGACTTTGAAAAGTTATCCTTTCTGTAGAATGAGTATAGGTTTAAGCTAGGGAGTGGTTATGAAAACACTTGGGACGGCCAGAGCAGTTCCTGGAGCAAAAGTATCCTATTAATATTATTATTTTCAGGCCGGGCGGTTGTGGCGAACGCCTTTAATACCAGCAGAGGCAGAGGCAGGTGGATCTCTGTGAGTTCGAGGCCAGACTGGTCTACAGAATGAGTTCCAGGACACGTTCCAAAGATACACAGAGAAACCCTGTCTCGAAAAAGCTAAGAAAACAAAGTGTGTTGTGTGGGTTCCTGCACGTGAATGCACTGTTCGTGGAGGCCTGGGGCTGGAGTTACAGCTCTGTGTGTGTGCTGGGACCCGAACTCCAGTTCCCTGGAAGAGCACAAGATCTTAAGCGCTCAGCCACCTCTCCTGTCCCCCCAGTAATTAGTAAAGCTGCCTTTACTCCTCCAACAAAAACAAGGAACAAGCAGAGAGCGGAAGCGAATTACCCAGGGCTCCCGGGAGCCCCGACGCCCACGAACCGCAGCTCCTCGAGCCTCACCTTCCCGCTGCCCGCGGGGCCCATAACTAGCTGCGCATACCGAGGCATACCGGCTCTCCGCCTTCCCCCGGCCGCCGGCGCTCACACTCCCTTCAGCCTTCGCGCGAGCTCCCCTGAGCTCCGGGGACAAGGGTACCAGCCAATCGCGACCCAGATCACTGTTTCGTCCCTGGTATTTACGCCTACGACTACGGAGCGTCCCAAGAGCCAAAATTTCTGAGAAATGTGACCTGACGGAAAAGAGGAGGTGGAGACGCGGCTTCACGCGTGCGCAGAGAGAGCTGCGGGCCGTTGTCAGTTGGCCCACAGGCGAGGCTGGTTGCCTAGGTGACAACGAATCGCAGTAACGCTCAGCTCCTTCAGGCCGGTGCCCTGGTTCTTGGGTTTGACTCCTAGGGTGACATCCTAAGACTTGCAGATCCACCGAGGGTCTGGAATACTGAGGTGGGAGACACCTTTTGCTTTAAGGGAGAGCACGCGCACGCGTGTGCATGTGTATGTGAGTGTGAGTGTGTGTGCGTGCGTGAGTGTATGTGTGTGCGTGTGTGTGTGTGAGTGTGTGTATGTGTGTGTGTGTGTATGTGTGGCCTTGCCCTGACACGTCCCTGTCACGGAGATTTGCCAAGGCGTAAAAGCCTGGTCACCTGAGGCCTCCTCCTCCTCCTCCTCGTCCTCCTCCCCCCCGGGTCTAGCACCAGGGTCTCGGGTCGCCTTCGGCACCGTCCCGAAGCCGCTCGGGCAGGGTCGGAGGGTAGAGCCGGAGGCCGCGGCGGCCCCCCAGCCGGCCTGGGGGGGCGGGGCCT